TATGCCAGAAATTTATTCCAGTCTATGATTACTGCGGCAATATTATTACATGCACAAAGATGAAAAGATTCAGCATTATGAAGGAATGGTTGGTGAAATTGACAGAATTTACTGAGATGGCCAAGTTGACTTCTTTGAATTGGAAAAAATCATTATTGCCATTCATCAATGACTGGAAATCCCTTATGGACTTCTTATTGAAAAAAGAAATATTGACTTATAGATTTGATGACTAGAAAGAACAGGTTATAGAAAGAAGGGAAATTTGATGTAATCTTAGAGAGGGAGAGTTTGATTAAAATTATATGTATAATTGCCAAGAGAAAAATAGGAAGCCGTGTGTGTGTGTGTGTGTGTGTGTGTGTGTGTGTTCACGTTTTCTATTTTTTATGTTCTTTTTTCTATCTCCTTTTCCTTTTCCTCTTCTTTTCCTTTTTAAATTTTAATAAAAAGCTATTTTTAAAAAATGGAATGAGCATACGCCATCCATGCATGGAAGTCTTTATGGGAGACTTCTAAAATCATACTGGCAGAATGGAGATGACAGTAATTGAATCTGCTTCCCTGGGAAGATCAACAGCACCAAAACAGTGGGAAGGGCCAGGTATATCAAAGCCCCATGTCTTTTTACATGTATGCATTTATGCAATTCATGCAATGTGCATTAACAAATAGCAGGGTTTGGATCACTCAATCATGACCAACATTTTGCTCCTCTTGGTTCCCCCTACAGATGTCCAGGTTTCCACCAATTTTATTCTAAGAAGATTATAAGAACTGTAAAAATGTTCGTTCTTTTTTTTTTAATTAAGCCTCAAAAGAACACCTGGTGTATCTTTGTTTGGCATAGGGGGGAAGGGGTGAAAAACACAAAACCTCGTCACTCAGGGGCTGTGTTAAAACATGGACAAGATACAAAACTCTGCCATTGTTGTGGCTGAAATGGACGAAGCTAGAAGGCTGGATCCATTTTCCAACTGGACCCATTTTCCAGCTGGACCCATTTAGATGCAGGGGAGACTGCATCGCAGAAAAGCCTACAGACAAGTTAAGCTGTGTCTCAGGTTGCCAACCACATTATTACCATTTTTGACTCTATTGGCTTACCTAGCAACAACAAGCCTTTATGGACTCACAAATCAGTTTCCCACATTTGGAATCCATTCCCACGGCACTTGCAGAAAATGCTGTATTGGGTTAAAGTTCCCTTTTGACTGGGCTGTAAGCCAAAGAGGCATCCCTCTTAAATCACTAAACCAGCCTCCTTAAGCAAGATATGTCGAAATCCTTTTTCCCGCACCTGACCCCCTTCCCATCCCTCTTGCCTTCTGATTCATATATTTTACTAACTGTCTAGTTAAATTATTGTGATTCGAAATCATTACTCAAGTAGAGCTTTTGGTGGCGTGAAAGGCAGGTGCTGCTTAGGATGGTTTCTGGTGAATAAATGGAATTGATGGCACTTGAATCTGCTGGCAATTACCCACAGGGCTACTCTCTCGGCCAAGATGCTGCAAAGGCACTTTTCCAAATTAGATATCTGCAGCAGCAGCCTATTCCAGTATTGTAGAAGCATCAGTTTTGTAGCCACTGTAACTCTGCTCGTCTGTAGTAGAATACAGACCGTCCTCAACATACCACCACAATTGAGCCGAAAATTTATGTTGCTAAGTGAGAAATGTCTTAAGTGAGTTTTGCCCCATTTTACGACTTTTCTTGCCATGTTTGTTAAGTGAATCACTGCAGTTGCTAAATTAGTAACACGGTTGTTAAGGGAATCTGGTTTCCCTGTTGAATTTGCTTGTCAGGAGGTCGCAAAAGATGGGCACATGACCCTGGGACACTGCAACTGTCATAAATGTGAATTAGTTGTCAAACATCTGAACGACAATCACGTGACCATGGGGATGCTGCAACAGTCATAAGTGTGAAAAATGGTCATAAGTCATTTTTTCCAGTGCTGTTGTAACTTCATACGGTCACTAAGTTGAGGATTACCTGTAGTATAATTTTGAGGAGACAATACAGCAGATTCTTGAGTTGGGCACAAGCATAAATTCCTGTTTTGCTGTGGATTATTGTCCCATTCCTTAAATGAAAAGTGCAATTCAATGCCAAAATAAAGTCTTTTTAAAAAGAGAGAGAGAGGGAGAGGGATAGAGAGAACTAGGGACATAAAATGATTGTGTGGATTGTGAGCCTCCCAGAATTGGTTTTAGATTAGATTAACAGAGTTGGAAGAGACCTTGTAGGTCATCTAGTCCAACCGCACAAGCAGGAGACCTTACATCATTTCTGACAAATTGCAGTCCAATCTCTTCTTGAAAGCTTCCAGTGATGACGCTCCCACAAGGTCCAAAGGCAAGCTGTTCCATTGGTTGATTGTTCTCACTGTCAGAAAATATCTCCTTATTTCTAGGTTGAATCTCTCCTTGTTCAGTTTCCATTCATTATTCCTTGTCTGGCCTTCAGCTGCCTTGGAAAATAGCTTGACCCCTTTCTTTCTGTGGCAGCCCCTCAAATATTGGAACACTGTTATCATGTCTCCTCTGGTCCTTCTCTTCACTGGAATAACCATGCCCAGTTCCTGTAACCGTTCTTCATGTTTTAGTCTCCAGTCTCCTGATTTCCTGGTTGCTCTTTTCCGCACTCTTTCTAGAGTCTCAACATCTTTTTTATAGTGTAGTTACCAAAACTAGATGCAGTATTCTAAGTGTGATCTTACTAAGATTGAAAGATGGGTGGCTATATAAATGTTTTAAATAAAAAAATAAGGCTATTAGGATCAGGAAAAAAACAGAGAGAAGTGGGAGCTTATTTTGTACATTTTGGAAAAAAAGAAATTGTCAGCTTATTTAATAGGCAGCAACCACAGACAGTGATGGATAGCAGGAGTAGAAGGAACTTTTTTGCAGGAAACTCTTTCTTTCATCCAGTGTTGGCAAGAAAGAAGTTAAAAGTCGCTGCAAACGCACTTTTTTTTTAGTTTTTGCCTGTGGTTGGCCTTGCCCACTTCTTTACTTCACTCTCAGCACAATTTTCTTGGAACAATAATGCGGTTGATGATTTTAGCAAAGGAGATTTAGAACCACGACTTGGCATACCTCCCTACTTCTGCCAGTCGTGCTGTTCAGAAAGGAGATTCTGTAAACCATATTGCAAGCACCAGAGCTCATTGTCAAAGTTTATTTGATCATATAATGGAACAGTAGAACTTTTCCTTTAAAAGGCTTGATTAATGACTAATTACTGAATATTCTTACAAAGTTACTGGGGTTGAATCCATTATGCCTGTTGCACAGAATCTGAGAGAAACAGTAGACAAGATGCAAGGTAAAACTTTTGTGTGGAGAGTAATCTTGTACTGTCAAGTCTATGGTTTTCCCAGTATGGCTGTGAAAGCTGGACCATAAGAAAGGCTGAGCGCCAAAGAATTGAGGACTTCGAACTATGGTGCTGGAGAAGACTCCTGCGAGTCCCTAGAACTGCAAGACAATCAAACCGGTCATCCTAGAGGAGAGCAACCCTGACTGCTCTTTAGAAGACCAGATCCTGAAGATGAAACTCAAATACTTTGGCCACCTAGTGAGAAGGAAGGACTCACTGGAGAAGAGCCTAATTCTGGGAAAGATAGAGGGCAAAAGAAGAAGGGGACAACAGAGAATGAGGTGGCTGGATGGAGTCACTGAAGCAGTAGGCATGAACTTATATGGACTCCGTAGGATGGTAGATGACAGGAAGGCCTAGAGGAATATTGTCCATGGGGTCATGATGGATCGGACATGACTTCATAACTAACAATAATCCTGTACTAATAATACGTAATATTTGTGTGCTATGCAAGGAAGTATATGATTGTTTTTAAATTGGGTACTATAAAGATTTGGGGCAAATAGAGTTCACACCAGCATTTCAGCATTTGATCACCTTTATAATGGATTGTGGCTGTTACATATTCTGTAAAGTTCCAACTGGACATTTAAGTCCCCTGACACTTATCAAAAGGCAATGGGTTCTATTGGCCAGGTCTTTCTGGCATTGTGTGTCATACAGATAACATTGTCTATGCAGCAACTGTTGAGAGCTTGGGGGGCAATTTTTGAAATTTTTCATTAAAAAAACAATTCAAACTAAGCTAAAGCAAACTCCACCTAAACTCCTTGAAAGGCTGTTTTATCGGGACACACTGCATTAGCAAAATGAATTGAATTTGATCATTCAAGTCAGAAGCCATTCTGAAATCTGGATTCGTGTTCTTTTCTACTTACCTGTACCTATCATGTGAAATTTATTCTTTCTTATGTTGATATTTCACAACCACAGCATCTCTTGACTAGCATTTCATCACCTGAAATATTCATTAATTAAGGAATCTTCTCTAGCTTATTAGAATCTGAACACATCAAATGACTGGTGGCAAGATGGATCAAAGCAGGGGTGAAATCCAGCAGGTTCTGACAGGTTCTGGAGAACCGGTAGCAGAATTTTTGAGTACTTCAGAGAACCAGCAAATACTACCTCTTGCTGGCCCCAAAGTGGGGTGGGAATGGAAATTTTGCAATATCCTTCCCCTACCACACCCACCAAGCCACACCCACAGAACCGGTAGTAAAAAAAATATGAATTTCCCACTGGATCAAAAAGTCTGTTTTATAAGAGAGCTATTTTCTTTTCCAGACCAGTGGTATTTACAGAATGCGTATAAAAGTTTGGATGTATAAACTATATGCTTTTCTTTATGAGCATCCATTTGTATTGTTAACAAATACGCCACACTTCAAGCGCATAAAACCACAGCCAGCATCTCATCTGGAAATTATCATATTAACACATTTCTGGATAAATGAATATAGCTGATTTATTGTTGTATCTTTCCATTATCTGATTCAGGATTAAACTTATTGATGGAGGAGTGTGTTTGATGTTTTTTTAATATATGTATGTTAGGTTTTGAGGAATTATTATTTTTAGAAACCCTCACCTTGCTATCTCTAACCTAGGAGACAGCAATCAACCTGGCACCACAAATTGTTAAATTAATAGGCAAATGAAATAGAATGGAAAAAGGCAGTAATTTTATCACCACATGGAAATGGAAAAATAGGATCTTCAACTGGATACATGCTAAAATCATGAAAAAATCTTGGAACCAGGATGGAATTCAGTAAGTACATAATTCAGTAAGATGAGATTAGAAAGGAATCAAAGGAGGTCAGAGAGAAGAATGCAAATAGTTCCCAACTTACAATAGTTGGTTTATTGACTATTCAAAAATACGTCACTGAAAAAAGTGACGTATGACCGTTTTTCACACTTATGACTGTTGCAACATTCCCATGGTCACATTATCAAAATTCAGCTACTTGGCAACTGACATGTATTTATGAGCCGTGGTGGCATAGTGGTTAGGATGTTGTACTGCACACTACTTGTGCTGAGTGCTGGCTGCAGTTCAGCAGTTCGATTCTCACTGGCTCAAGATTGACTCAGCCTTCCATCCTTCTGAGGTGGGTAAAATGAGGACCCAGATTGTTGGGGGCAATATGCTAACTGTAAACTGCTTAGAGAGGGCTGTAAAGCACTGTGAAGCTATATTTAAGTCTAAGTATTATTACTACTGGTATGATGGTTATAGTGTCCCGGGGTTGTGGGTTCGCTTTTTGCGACAAGCAAATTCAATGACGAAGTCAGATTCACTTAACAACCATACTACTAACTTAATAATTGCAGTGATTCATTTAACAACTGTGGCAAGAAAGGTTTGTAAAATGGGGCAAAGCTCACTTAACAAATGGCTCGCTTAGCAACAAAAAGTTTGGGCACAATTGTGGTCATAACATGAAGACTACCTGTATTAATAATCAGTGCCATGTAGTCATATATGTCTTAGCAACCTAATAGGTCAACAAAAGACTCTAAGGTGACCTGAAAATAATATTTGATGGAAGTTACAGGAAAATCATGTTTAAAAAAAAAAAAACCCAAGATTTATACCTCTCCGTTCATAGAATCCCATCATCTAAACTCTCCCTGAGCTATGTAGCTGGCCCATGCTAGGTGGAGCATACAAGATATGGGGTGGTATCACATGTGGTATTCTGCCAGTTCATCCTGGTTTGGGCAAACCAGTAGTGGCGGAGGGGGAGGCTCCACCCACTTGCCCAGACGTCTTCATTGATGCTCTTAGCAAAGGTAAGAGGATTTCATGCCTGGGTGGTATGCAAGTTATATGACAAGTGAATATATGTTTTATTAAAAAAAACTTTAAATCAATACAGGTCTGTTGTTGCTGAATGTGAGCAGTGTCTTGTGTGGATTACCGCATAAGGTTAAGCTACCTCTTCAGTGATTGGCTGCCACCTTCCATATTAATGTAGAAGCTGTGAATGCACTAATGTAAAGCAGTACAAGGGGCATTTCTTGACAGCTAAATTCTCCCAAAATAGGAAGCTGCCAAGCATCCTAATGTCTTTTCCCCCCAAAAGCCTTCATAATTCAGTTATGTTGAACTATAGTTCCTACAATCCCTAGTCAGCATGGCAGTTGGATCTATGACCCAATGTTTGACATATTGAGTTTCACTTGTAGAAAGTTAGCACCCACCCCTCCTAGAAGAATGAAATATTTTAGGAAATATTAAAAAGGCAGAATATTGTATTTCCCTGGATGAGAAATTGAGAAACATGCTCTTAGAGACAGAAACTCAGAGCCTCAGCTCCCTGCCCCCCACCCCCAAGCAGATACTGAGATGGGGCAGTTTTAGAAATGCAGATTTGGCAATCCATTACTGCCTGCAGCAAGGTCTGGCTCTAAACAAAGGCAGGGCAAAGCCATTCATCCACAATAGGAATTGCCTTTCATTGCATCACCCATCAAGATTCAACCAAATGTTCAACCAAATTGGAACTTTAAGCAATACTTTGCCTTGGACTCTGATTTACTTTTGGATGCTATTTGGAGCCCTGACACCAAACATATCTCAGACAACCTCAGCTATGATCCCAGCATAGCCCCCTGGGAGTCTGACAACCAATAGAATGCATTTTCTTGCACATGAACAGGAAGCTCAAGGGCAAGGCCCAACAGAGAGTATAAATACCTCTCAATTTCCACTCCATGTGTTCAGCTGCCCAGGAACTCAAACTCATGTGGTCCTGTTCATCAACAAACCATCTTTCCAATCAGCCTCCATGTTTCCAGTGTCTTTCTCCCCACTTGGAACTGAACCAGATGATATTTTGTCCAACACACTGCTAGGTGGAAAATTCAAAATGGTGATCTAGAAGACATGGACATCAACTGTGACTTCTGAGAAGTGCTTCTCCTATTTCAGACCTAGAGAAGAGCAATCGGCAGCTTCCAGTGTAACACTGGGACATTTGATTTGCCAGGAGAAAACTTGCTCTCCTGATGAAGCAAATGCAAAAGTCTTTATATTGGTTCTCAACCTGTGGGTCGGGACCCCTTTGGGGGTCGAACAACCCTTTTACAGGGGTCACCTAAGACCATCGTAAAACACATATTTTCGATGATCTTAGGAACTGAGACACCAATTTTATGGTTGGGGGTCACCACAACATGAGGAACTGTATTAAAGGGCCATGGCATTGGGAATGTTGAGAATCACTGCTCTATATGAATCAACATTGATTACATATGTCTATACATATGATGCGAGCCACTGATTAGATGGTTTTAAAAAAGATTAAGCAGGTTTAGCAGAAGATGGTTAATGGATGCCTTGGAATTTTCCATGTTGAGAGATACTATATCTCAGAGAGTTAGATACTGCATGTGCAACAACAGATGATCATAAGCTGGATCCCTTTATGAGAAATGTCAAAGCAATTAGTTGATTATTAGAGGCATTGTTATGTACTAGACAGCTTAGCCTTCCTCCATCAAAAGTTGTTAGCCGTTTTGCAATCTTTATATGCCTACAAATCCTTAAGTCTGAGCAAAAAAAATATATACTGTATTTTTCAGAGTATAAGACATACCTCCCCCCTCAAAAAAAAAGAGGGTAAAAGTCTTATACACTGAATACAGCCTTTTTGGCCTACCGAAACCCCGCCCCCTTCACACAAATGGACGTGCAGAGGGTTTGGAGGCCTGCAAAGTGCTCCTGGGGGCTGGGGAGGGCACTCTATAAGCCTCCTAAAAGCTATGCATGCCTTTTTTGGCAAAAAAACGGGCCGATGTTTTGCTTGTTTTTGCTTCCCCCCCCCTACCGCTCACAAAAATTTTTTCACAAACAATGAGGCATGCAGAGGGTTTGTGAGGTCTGCAGAGTGCAGAAATTTTATTTTTTAATTTACCTCTTCAAAATCTTGGTGTGTCTTTTACTCCGAAAAATATGGTATTCACATGTTCCTCTAAAAGGTTACAAGTAGATGCTGCATTCATGCATTCATATGTGAATAAATTGCTGTGAAAGAGTACAAAGGGCACATGCATCTTTCTCGCACATTTGTGTCCTTAAAAAATACCTTTCCTTTCTCAATATGATTATCTTCATTCTTTGGCTCGTGGTGAAGCTTTTCTTCTATATTATCTTCTGCCTGCATGGGTGTCCCAGTTACTGACTTACACTTTTATTTTGCTGAAATAAAAGGGGTTATTAATGAGCAGGAGCAGCACAAGGAACAATGTTTGTACTTATTGAAAGCAGTGATTCCTATGCCGAAAAACATATAAGTAGATAGCAAATCTTTATAAATTATGACACTGGCAATGACATTGGTATTTAAAATATGAAGAGATATAGTTTGGTCTAAAGCGGGGGTGTCAAACTCGATGCCAATGAGGGCCTCATCAGGGTAGTGTTTGATCTCGGGGAGCTGGGGTGGGCATGGCTAGGGTAGGCGTGGCCAGCTCAACATCACATGTCGAGGCTGCAGATGGTGGCCCAAGCGCTCTACCAGTGAAAACAGGCGCCTGTTTTCAGCTGTGATGGCTTCTTGCAACTCTCAGCCAGCAAAAACAGAGCTCCAGAAAGCTGCACATGACCCTCCCCAGCTCCATTTTCTCTGGCAGAGGTACCACAGGCCCAGTGGTGGGTTCCGGATCCTGGTGCAACCAGTACGGTGCAACGGGGCCGGGCGCCCACCACGTGCATGTGCGCAGCATGCGCACAGCACACGCATACATACCCACTGCCTGCTTCAGCTGCTCAGTAGAGCATCGCGGAAGCACCATACGCTCCATGTGATCGGCTCATATAGCAGGGGCCATATCTAAGTATCCCACAGACCGAATCCAGTCCATGGGCCTTGAATTTGACACCCCTGGTTTAAAGGGTTTATTTTATGTTGCTTCCACTCTCAAGCTACTTCATTGGATATTTTAAAAATGTATTCAAAACAGTAAAATAGTCACTCAGAATCTTAGTAGACCGGAGCAGCACACAAGCCCCAGCAAACAAATAAACAAACAAAACTAAAACATTGTTAATGCTGCCATATTATTAATGTTGTCAATATTAGTTGAGATTTTTTTACTTTTGCTTTTTTAATTTTTTTCTTTTCTTCAATTTATTTATTTATTAGACTTATATACCGCTTCATAGGGCTTTCAGCCCTTTCTAAGTGGTTTGCATTTTTTTTAGCAAATTGAATCAGCAACTTGCCCCCACAGTCTGGGTCCTCATT